AAACATTTTTTAAATAAAAAAATGTAATGCAAGCATTGTAAGTACCTTAATCTGACCTGGTATCAGCCTTTCGCAGTACCCAGAACAGAAGAGCTCAGACTAGGAGTGGGAGAAGCAGCACACGCAGCCATTCTATTGTACTGCAGTGTTCATGCATCAACAAGAAGCATGCTGATGGGAGTAGAGAGCGGAGTGACAGAGAGATGAGCTCATCAGCCTGCTGTTTCTCCTTTCACTGTTTGTGCTGAGCGGCAGAGCTGTGTATATCTCAGGACTGGAGGGACAGAAATACAAATCAGGTAGAACAGCTCATTATGTGTATCTCGCGGTTTGCCTGGCAGAGAAGAAGATCCCCCCCCCCCTGGGGGCTCAATTCACAACTCTATGCACGGCTCAACTCGTTACAGCAAACCTTCTGCGATAAGGATCGTTATGGATCAGCACCCGGAGAGGGGGTCACAATTTTGCAAGGAGGAACGCCGAGCGAGCTGCAGGGGAAACATTGACCAGCGCGGTGAACTTTACCCCCCAGTAGAAGGATTGCCGTCCTCGCTCACCTGTGGCTCCGAAGACTGCGACCACTTTCTTGGACATGGCAGAGGATGAGGAGGAGGATGAGGACGGCTTCTGGTCAGAGATGTTCAGCACTCCTGGAATGAAGGAAGGAGAGAGAGGAGCTTTAATAGGCGGCTGAGGTCCTCCCCACCCCCGACTCTTGTTTGGGTGACGGCCAGGAGTCACTGTGACTCAGCAAATGCAACAGACGGCTGGCGGGGACACCGGCCAGGGAACCCTCCGTTCATTCATCTCATTCTGTACATGGCTGACACCTGACCACCATTGCTGAGCGCGGCATCGTGCGTCCTGTAGTACACCTAGCACAGACACTCGTCTGTAATAAAGACCGCTCACTGCTGCTCTCTCTCTCCTTGTGCAGGGTGACTGGTCTTGTCTCCGCCCCCTCCTGTAATAAAGACCGCTCACTGCTGCTCTCTCTCCTTGTGCAGGGTGACTGGTCTTGTCTCCGCCCCCTCCTGTAATAAAGACCACTCACTGCTGCTCTCTCCTTGTGCAGGGTGACTGGTCTTGTCTCCGCCCCCTCCTGAAATAAAGACCACTCACTGCTGCTCTCTCCTTGTGCAGGGTGACTGGTCTTGTCTCCGCCCCTCCTGTAGTTTTCTGCAGGCAGACCATAGTACGTAGGGCTGGCTGGGCTCCTCCCACAGCTCTGCTCTCAGTACACGCTATATACAGCACACCAGGTGGATTTATATGACTGGAGACTGGTCTAGTCCCCACCCCCTCCTCTAGTGGGTGGAGCCTTCAGGACCCCTCCCACAGCTCTACTCAGAATCTGTACAACAAAGTGATGATGTCACTGCTACTTTTACAAGGCAATATCTGGGTTTGTAAAGCCATTCAGTGCACACAATGTGGGTTTATATCCTTTGTGGCCATCAATGAGAGTTTCTGTGGCGGGAGTTGCGCTCGGCCTCCATGTGCGCTCCGGTCCCAGCATAACACTCATCAAATATTGTCATTCTACACCCAACATACGAGCGCACAGATCCCATTGTAATCTATGGAAACCCGGAAACGCATGTCAGTGAGCGTCAGGAAGGTTGCGGGACGCCGTCCATTGTGTAGCAGCGTGAGGGGCGGAGCCTCGTATTGTGACAACGTAAAACACTTTTTCTATTTACCTGAAATATTACAAAGTGACATTTTCTTCATTGCTGTGACATGACATGCGTTGCACCGCGACCACCTCAATGCAGCGCGACGGCGTGAGCACGGCACAGGAAACAATTGCTGTCTATGTGCTCTGGCATTGCTGGGTAGGCAACCTCCAGCTGTGGTAAAACTACAAATCCCATCATCTCTCTGGGAGCCATCCCTGTGGCTGTCAGGTTTTGCCTCATGGGACTTGTAGTTGCGGCACAGCTGGAGTTTGCCTGCGTCTGCTGTAGAGGAGCCTTGCTCTGTATTTGGAAGCAGCGGCCTCTCTGCAGAGGTCCAACACCCCCCTCCCTGTGATTGAGAGCTACAGCTCTCCTCTGTCATCCCTGTGGCTGTCAGGAGTCTTGCAATGCCTCATGGGACTTGTAGTTCTACAACAGCTGGAGTGCCGAGGTTGCCGATCCCCGGATCTCAGCTGAAGTGGAGTGCACGAGCTCTCCATACACAGTGCATGCATGCGTGCTGACATGCGGTTTAATGCATTTCAATATACAACGCAAGGGGGGATGACGCATGGGCTCGTCTTCTACCGTCAGCATTTATCCAATGGTAGCAACACGCGGAGCACATGACCAAATACCAGCACCCTGTGTGAGGAGACATCAGAGCGCCCCCATTTTTATCAAATGTCCTTACCAGCCAGATCCTCCCTTCCCTTTTCACCTTCCCTTCTTTTCCCACCTTCCATACCCTTCCCTTCTCACCTTCCATACCCTTCCTGCCCTTCCATACCCTTCCCTTCCTGCCCTTCCATACCCTTCCCTTCTCTTCCTGCCCTTCCATACACTTCCATACCCTTCCCTTCCTTCCAGACCCTTCCCTTCTCTTCCTGCCCTTCCATACACTTCCATACCCTTCCCTTCCTTCCAGACCCTTCCCTTCTCTTCCTGCCCTTCCATACACTTCCATACCCTTCCCTTCCTTCCAGACCCTTCCCTTCTCTTCCTGCCCTTCCATACACTTCCATACCCTTCCCTTCCTTCCAGACCCTTCCCTTCTCTTCCTGCCCTTCCATACACTTCCATACCCTTCCCTTCCTTCCAGACCCTTCCCTTCTCTTCCTGCCCTTCCATACACTTCCATACCCTTCCCTTCCTTCCAGACCCTTCCCTTCTCTTCCTGCCCTTCCATACACTTCCATACCCTTCCCTTCCTTCCAGACCCTTCCCTTCTCTTCCTGCCCTTCCATACACTTCCATACCCTTCCCTTCCTTCCAGACCCTTCCCTTCTCTTCCTGCCCTTCCATACACTTCCATACCCTTCCCTTCTCTTCCCGCCCTTCCATACCCTTCCCTTCTCTTCCTGCCCTTCCATACACTTCCATACCCTTCCCTTCCTTCCAGACCCTTCCCTTCTCTTCCTGCCCTTCCATACACTTCCCACCTTCCATACCCTTCCCTTCTCTTCCTGCCCTTCCATACACTTCCATACCCTTCCCGCCCTTCCATACCCTTCTCTTCCTGCCCTTCCATACCCTTCCCTTCTCTTCCTGCCCTTTCATACCCTTCCCTTCTCTTCCTGCCCTTCCATACCCTTCCCTTCCATACACTTCCCACCTTCCATACCCTTCCCTTCTCACTTTCCCTCTATAATGGCAGCCATTGGTCACAGACAGTCCTCATTGCATGTGTCTGAGCTGGATACATACACCTGTCAGTGTGTGATATGCGGGCGCTGCGTCCATTGATGATCATCATCCGTGTAATCCTTCCAGGACTGTTACACATGCCGGATAATCCGTGTGGTTTGGCGCTCTGCCCAGACGTGTACAAGGACAGGGGAACAGATCACAGGTAGGGTTGCCACCTGTCCAGGATTCACCGGACAGTTCGGGTTTTGAATGCTGTGTTAGGATTTCATGGCAGCAGAAACCCGGACACAAGATGCCAGGCACACAGGAGAAACCAGCATTAAGATCGGGGCTACTGGCCCCCCACTGAAAATAGTCTCACCTGTGATATTTACATATGAAAAAGCCGCAACTCATTCTTCCAAGAAAATTTCCGTGTGTCGCTAGAGTGTTCGGGTTTCGATGGAAGAAAAGGTGGCTACCCTAGTCACAGATGAGACAGGAAAGTTTACGGGCCGCTATAGTGAAACATTTTGCATTCCGGTAACTGTATGCAGAGCTCAGACTGGGAGAGGAGGAAGCAGCCAATCAGTTGTGCTGCATTGCAAGCTGCATGCTGATAGAAGGAAGGAGAAGAGTGACAGTGGGATGAGCTCATCAGTCTGCTGCTTCGCCTCTCACTGTCCAATCAAAGGCTGGAGGAGGGGCAAGACCTGTAAGTGTTAATGAACTGCAGCTGAGAAGCAACAGGTCTCCTGCCCTGCCAGACTGGGAACCGTATACAGTTGATTCAGCTCTGCTGTATAGGATGGAAGGGGGGATCCTGATGTAAGGGGGGGGACCCTGGGGACTCGGTACCCCCTTACATCAGATGTCCCAGCGCTCCCCCTTATGTCTGCACTTGGTGGGAGGGCAGCAGGAGGCACCTCAACTAACATGCAGATTGGAATGGGGGGGGGAAGGGCAGGGACAGGGGAGGCAGCACATCACTGGTTGGTTGCTAGGACACCAGGCGGTCCTAGCAACCAACCACTTGTGGTGTCCATCAACCCGCTGTCATCATTCAACTCCCTTGCTGCTGGTGGTTGGTTGCTAGGACACCAGGCGGTCCTAGCAACTAACCGGCAGCCGGCAGGGGTTGAATAATATTTGGCCATACATGTATTTTTTATAATAATAATAATTGCCTCTACTGATTCTAATTGAAGGTTTCGATCCATCCATCCATATATACATACACATACATAAATACATACACATACCGCATACATACATACATACATACACATACCACATACATACATACTCCTACACTTGCATGATACAAGGAGGCGCGGTGTCAGTACAGCTCAGCAGAAATCATGCTGCATCATCGCACCGAGGCAGAAAAAAAAACAAAAGCAAAGAGTCAGAAGAATGGCGTGAAAAGCCCCGGAGATTATTTTTCCTTCAGTGCAATCAATATGAGAGACTGACAAGTCAGCATTCACCGGTCACCCATTGGAGCCGGCTGCATGCATATATCACACATGTGCTCTGCCTGACTTTTATAGAACATTTAACTCTTTGGAGGGTTTTCCTCTCACTTCCTGTTGTGGCTATCGCACAGGAAGTGAAGGGAACTCTAGTTCTGCTGATTTTCATCTCCATGGAGGGATGTCTCTTACTTCCTGTTGTGGCTATCAAACAGGAAGTGAAGGAAAATCTCCTTGGTGGGACACAGATGGCAAAAAAGTGGACAGGAGTTATAACCCCCCCACTCTATTATTTAGGGGGAAAAAACTGCATTGGTTGGATGTAGGGCTGCCACCTTTTCTTCCATTGAAGCCAGAACATTCTAGCGACGCACATACATTTTTGGGGTGGGGGAGTTGTGGCTTATTCATATGTGAATAGCACCACACATTCATATATAAATATCACAGTCAAGATAATATTCAGTGGGGGCCAGCAGCCCCTATCTTAATGCTGGTTGCCCCGGTCTGCCTGACACCTTGTGTCTAGGTTTCTGCTGCCATGAAACCCGGACACAGCATTCAAAACCGGAACTGTCCAGGTGATTCCCAGACAGGTGGCAACCCCAGGTTGGATGCATGTACAAACCTGTACAGCCGTGGCCTTAATCAGCTGGTCATTTATTTTTTTATTTTTTTGTACAGGCAGCTGGAACACGGGTGGCTCCCGGGTGCATATACAGCCCTATGTGGCCGAGTGAATGAGCCCTACACACATGTTGTTCCCATATAGAGTCTTGATGGATGGTGACACGCTTCGATTTTATATTGTCATCCTGCAGACAAATCAGGTTTTTCCACTCTCTGCTCTACATCTCACATGTGTACATAAGATACAATCTTCCCATTGTCGTTACCTTTCATGCCGTGCGTTGTCCATTTATAAAACATACGCACGCCCAGACACAAAGCAACCCAACAGGAGTGACTTAGGCAAAGCAGGTTTGCAAATCCCTGAAGGGAGACGAGATGATAAATACATCTGTGGTGACAACTCACAAGAGTGACAACACAGAAATCTGCACACTCATCCCAGCGCATCACCTCTCTCACCTCTGTGTATGCAGCCACTCACCCCAGCGCATCACCTCTCTCACCTCTGTGTATGCAGCCACTCACCCCAGCGCATCACCTCTCTCACCTCTGTGTATGCAGCCATGCAGGGGTGGGTGACCTCTTGACACTGGAACCCCAGTGCTGGACCCACATCACTTTAATAGGCTACATTGTTCAACCTGCAAAATGCATTTAACCCCTAGAATGCTGCAGCAGAAGAGACCTGCAATGAGCCTGGTGACCTTCAATTAGGTGGTTTTAAATAAAGTGTATGGAAGGCCTCATTCACATGAGAAAAGGCCTGGAACGCTCCGTGCCGCCCTACGCTCACCCGACCTGCACCTGTGGGTGCGGGTGGCCGTACTCGTACGCTGACAGGATGGATCCTGTCTGTGTCCGAGCCGAGACACCTGCACCCGTACGGACCTGCACCTGGGGTGAGCGTAGGGCGGCGTAGTCCAATAGAGAAGGACAGGGGCATTGTACTAATCACACGCAGCACCTGTCCTTCCCGGGAGCTGCCCGATACGGGCGTGCATGCAGCACGGAGCTGTACGTGCCGGCCTTTTCTCGTGTGAATGAGGCCTAAATCCTAACAATGAACGTTTTATTTTGAACACACCATAGAAAGTGTTTTGTTATATTTGCTCAAATGCAAAAAAGTGCAAAAATGCCTGTCGATCCTGCCAGAAATGTTGTCAGCGGATAACTTCCTGAGCTCTTTGAATGTTTCATTGTTTCCAGTTGTGTCTGCGGACTGTAGAACACCTTCCCCCAATGTGATGGAGAAGAGAAGGTGTGGTGTTCTGCAGTACTAGGGTAGGGTTACCACCTGCCGGGGATTCACCTGGACAGTCCGGGTTTTGAGTCCTCTGTAGGGTTGCCACCTTTTCTTCCATCGAAACCCGAACACTCTAGCGACACACGGAAATTTTCTTGGAAGAATGAGTTGCGGCTTTTTCATATATAAATATCACAGTTGAGACTATTTTCAGTGGGGGGCCAGTAGCCCCGATCTTAATGCTGGTTTCTCCTGTGTGCCTGACATCTTGTGTCCGGGTTTCTGCTGCCATGAAACCCGAACACAGCATTCAAAACCCGGACTGCCGGGGTGAATCCTGGACAGGTGGCAACCCTAGTCCTCTGTGTGCTGTATCAGCTGAAACCCGGACACAAGATGTCATGATGTCCGGTGGACAGGGGCAACGACGTGGTCCTGGTATTCCTTGAGTGCATGGAGGAGGCACGGGACACAGAGGGAGGCTGAAACTCAAGGAGCAAGAAGGTGTCTGAAACACAAGGTGCAGATAAGTCGTGAAGGGCACACTCTCCTGGCTGTCTCTCCTCACTCTCTCTTCTCTCTCTCCTGGCTGTCTCTCCTCACTCTGTCCTGGCTGTCTCTCCTCACTCTCTCTTCTCTCTCTCCTGACTGTCTCTCCTCACTCTCTCCTGGTTGACTCTCCTCACTCTCTCTCCTGGCTGTCTCTCCTCACTCTCTCCTGGTTGACTCTCCTCCCTCTCTCTCCTGGCTGTCTCTCCTCACTCTCTCTCCTGGCTGTCTCTCCTCACT